CAACTTGACCTTATGTGCATCTTGATGTGATACAATAAGAAATGAACCACATAGCCTGTTATATTCTTACCAAAAAGTATAGTCCAAATCTACTAAGAAAACCAGAAAAAGCCCAGGAGATGGGACATTGTACAACTGACTGGGACACTTCAAAAAATTCAATGTCATAGGGGAGAAAAAGACAGGGAGGGCTATTCCAGGTTAAAATGTATGCAAAAACCTTGATTAGATCCTGCATGAGGAAAAAGTTTTAAAGATTTTTATTTATTTGAGAAAGAGAGAAGATGGAGGGATGGGGACAGAGGGAGGGGGGAGAGAAAATCTCAAGCAGACTCCGCATGAGCAGAGCCCAGCACAGGGCTTTATCCCGGGATCCTGAGATCATGATCTGAGCTGAAATCGAGTCAGAAGCATGACTGAGCCACCCAGGTGCCCTGAGGAAAAAGTTTTAAAAAAGACATTTTGGGATAATAGGCAAATTATCCCATACAGATCATATTAAATGTTATTGAGTCATTGTTATTATTCAGGTGTGGCGGGTTGCCTGGGTGGCTCAGTTGTTTGAGCGGATGCCTTCGGCTCAGGTCATGATCCCAGGATCCTGGGACGGAGCCCACATCCCTGCTCAGCAGGGAACCTGCTCCTCCCTCTCCCTCTGCCTGCCTCTCCCCTTACTTGTGCGCATGCGCTGACAAATAAAATCTTAAAAAAAAAAATTATCTCAGGTGTGGCAATGGCATTGTGGTTTTATGTAGAAAACCTTTATTCGAAGATGAATGCTCAAGTATCCAGGGATGAAGTACCATGTTGTCACAACTTACTTTCAAATGATTCAGCAAAACAAATTAAAGTACATGTGGTAAAATATTAACAGTTGGCGGATCTAGGGAAAAGTTATTCTATTGTACTGCCCTTTCAACTTTAGTGTATTTTTAATTCTTGAAATTCATCGAGACCATTAGCATAGGGGCACCTGTGTGGCTCAGTCGGTCGGGCCTCTGCCTTCGACTCCGGTCATGATCTCCAGGTGCTGGCATCCAGCCCCGCATAGGGTTCCCTGTTCAGTTGGGAGTCTGCTTCTCCCTCTCCCTCTGCCCCTCCCCCTTCCCCACGTGTGCTCTAAAATAATTTTTTAAAAAACAGACCATTAGCATAAATTCAACTCTTCTATGAACTTCTGAAAATACAAAATTATAATCAATAAATATGTATTGTGCTATTTACATAATAGTAATCACTGTGCTAAACTCTGGGAGCAATAGTGGTGAGAAAAATAGTTCCAGCTTTCATGGAACCTACTCAGCATGTAATTATGAGTGATGGGGGGGTACAGTGGCTGCTCTGGAAGGCTTCCCCAAGTGGTACTGACAGGAAATCTGAAAGGTGAGTAGGTGATGCCTAGCTAGGTGGTGGTGGGGAAATGGGTCAGGGGGACCAAACAGTATGTGTGAAGGCACTAATAATGTGAGTTGGTCAATCTGGAAAGTGACAGGAGGATGTATTCCTGCTGCTTCCCAGTCTCCCACCCTGTCTACATAGCTGGTCTCCTGGTTCCATTAACCACTTCCTCCCTTCAACCTTTCAGACCTAAAGGTGGTAAAGCACCCCAATACTACCAGTCCCAGTGTTACTGGGCCTCAGAACTGTATTCTTCCCTGGGATTTCCCCACACCCTGTGCACAGCTTTGTAAACTCCCTTTATTAAGCTTTCCTCAAATTATCCATTTTCAGTAAGTCATCTATTTCCTGCCAGCACCCTGATAAAAAGCTCTGGAAGATAGACTTGAGAGATGCCAGCTTATTTTAGATAGTATCTGGGATGGTGGGAATGGAGATGGCCCAGGAAGAGGGCCAAAGATGACCCTGGCCAGTGAGCGTCTGAGATAGGAAAGCCTAGAAGCTGCAGTGTTATCAGCCAAGAATATTTGAAGATACTATCCATAATATCAAGTGCTGTTGAGGGGCTGAATGAAAAAATTGAGGGCTCTGGAATTCCCCATGAGAAAGCCATCAGTAGTCCCTGGAGTGGTGGGTACAGAATCAACCCTGGAGTGGATTGTAAAGGTGGTTGGAGGCAAAGAATACACTTGTTACCTTAAAAAGGTGGGGCGGGGGGTGGACGGACATAATTGTTCAGGTTCCTATTTTAATCCTACCAATGACTTGCTGAATAATCTTTTGAGATTTTTGAGTCTTAATTTTTGATATTTAAAACCACTTTCTTGTAATTACAAAAAAGCAAAAACAAAAACCCCAGGCAATGTTAAAGCTAATGTAAGCTGAGTATGGAGAATTGAAGTTCTAAAATGGAGCTAATTATTTCCCCCCGTTTCAAGCACTAAACAATGGACAGGCTTTGCCAAAATCTTTTCAGTTCTCTAAACTACAAGATTAAGCTGTTTTACACTGAAGCCTGCAACTAAGTATGTCCAAGACCCCCTAACTCAACATACAGTAACAAGCAGCTTCTAACCAGGGTGCAGGATATCTGAAACCCAAAGCATTCTCATGATCACAATGAGTAACCAAACTCCACAGCTCGAGAAATTGTTAGAATCCTCAGATCCCTTTCTTTGAGAACATTAAGCCTGTGAAATTATCTATGTTTGATCCAATTTGGCTTTTTCCTCCCTTCCCAGTTCACTGAACATCACACAAAAATGATTGCCAGAGTACCACAATGCTAAATCTGGAGCATTAGGAAAAGTGTTACAGGAACGCTGAATGGAGAGGCTCCCTGGGCATCCATCCTTCACTGCAGAGCAAGCCATGAGCTCTGGCTACCTTCACTGATTTTTAGAATATCCAGTTGTTTCACTACACAAAAAGACAGTATATTAATAGGTACACCAAAATTAAAGAAACAAAACTTGATCAACTGATTTAAACTGAGTAAGTCATTCAGCAAGGGTAACACTTGCCTCTCATTTTCAGCCTTCAAAACAGAGCAAGGTAACCACCTCCAAATGCAGGTTAAGACAGTACCACTGCTAGAGCAGGGACAGGGGCCAATTCAGTGAGGAAAGGCTTTGCAATCTGGGAATTCGATTTAAGTTACAAAAGACCTCCTGGCACCTCCACTTAACCCGTGAACAGGTTTTTGGTTGTTTAACTTTGCAGTTGTTTAAACAATGTTTAAAAGCGCCTGACCCATAGTAGGGGAGCGTTTTTTGTTTTTTTAACTTGCTACAGAAAGCACTTGTAATGTAGGGCAAAGAGGCCCAATTTCAAGTGATTCAGTCAGAAAAGAAAATGAGGTGCTGTGGCAGACAACACTCCAAGATGTCCCTCATGAGCCCCACACCCCAGTAGGGGGTGTTCATTGTGTAATCTTCATTTGAATGTGGGCAGGACATGAGGAGACTCGGACTTGCTAGCCAACTGGCTCTGGAGACCCACCGGCATGATGCAGGAAGCAGCCACCTCAGAACCACCCAGGAGCCCTACAGCCAGGTGAGGAATCTGGGCTCTCCATCCTAAAGCCACAGGAAATGATTTCTGCCAACAACCTGAGCTTAACTTCAGGTTAACTTGGTAACTTCACAGTAACTGGATTAGGTGTTGGCAACTCATCTGGACTATCCCAAACCAAATTTAAACCCTAACCGTATGGGGCACCTGGGTGGTTCAGATGGTTAGGCGTCTGCCTTCAGCTGGGGTCATGATCTCAGAGTCCTGGGATGGAGCCCCACGTGGGGTTCCCGTCTCAGCGGTGAGTCTTCTTTTCCCCCGCCCTCTGCCCCTCCCCCCTGCTTGTGCGCTCTCAAATAATTTTTTTTAAGATTTTATTTATTCATGAGAGAGAGAGAGAGAGAGAGGCAGAGGGCGAAGCAGGCTCCCAAGGAGCAGGGAGCCCGATGCGGGACCCGATCCCAGGATTCTGGGATCATGACCTGAGCTGAAGGCATACGCTTAACCATCTGAGCCACCTAGGCGCTGGAATAAATAAAATCTTAAAAAAAAGGCCTAGCTGTAGCATAGAAAGTTTGGCCCACAGGATCCACCTTTCCCAACTAATAATCTACTTCTAAATCTTTGATATGGCGGCACTTGGGTGGCTCAAGTCAGTTGAGTGTCTACCTTCAGCTTCATGACCTCAGGATCCTGGGATGGAGTCCCAGGGCCCCATGTAGGGCTCCCTGCTCAGCAAGAGTCTGCTTCTCTCTCTGCCCACCCCCAACCTGCACCTGTGCTCTCTCAAATAAATCTTTAAGAAAAAAAACACAAAAACAAAACCCACAGGCGCGCCTGGGTGGCTCAGTCATTAAGCGCCTGCCTTCGGCTTGGGTCGTGATCCCAAGGTCCTGAGATTGAGCCCCTCATCAGGCTCCCTGCTCAGCGGGAAGCCTGCTTCTCCCTCTCCCTCTGCTTATGTTCCCTCTCTCACTGTCTCTGTCAAATAAATAAAATCTTTAAAAAAAAACCCACAAAACTTTGATATGGATTACACCCCTTTAGATTCCTCATAATTCTATGAAGTAATTTTGTTAATTACTTTACAGAAGTTTGGAGGCTCACAAGTGACTCAAATGGCTAATAAAAGGGCAGAGCCAGAAATTAAGAGACCACGTCTGACTCCAATGCCAAAATCCACCTTTCCCTATAACCAGTTTTTATAATTTCTTTAAAGTCTCAATGATGATTCCCATTATGCCAATAGACAGTAACAATAAAATCACATCATGGACATTAAAACACTGGAGACATTTTTAAAAAAATAATAAAAATAGAAAACAGAAGAGCAGAAAAGAAAAAAGAAAAAAAGAAATCAACCAACCAACCACTGGAGAAAGTTTGTCCTTCATTATTAAATCTCATCTACTAAGGTTAGTTCCTGGGCATGTCTGTTAAAACGTCTTTTATTTTAAAGTATTTCTAGAGGACTTTTTTCCTTCATGGCTTATTATAAAACTTAGGGAGTTAAACTGAGTATCTGTAAAGGCCAAAAATGTTAGTTATTCTTACCTAAGAACACCTTTTAAAGAAAGCCACAAAACAGCTTCTTTTATTTTCTAGTAAGACTAAATTTATTCAATAACCTAAGTAAAAGTTTTGATTATAAGTATCCAACAGTATAAAAAGTACAAAACAGATTTGTAGATTTCTAATATATTAATACAAAGTGCATGACTACATACAGTACATCCTACAGGCAAAGAGGTGGAAGGGGAAAAAGAAGACTGTGGTTGAGGTCTAGTAATAAATAAATAAATACAGAAGTAGAGATGATCCATATTATAGTATATTCTACCACCAATACTGTAGCCAAAATGTACAAAAAAAAAAAAAAACCATTTCAAAATAACGGGAGGAAGATGGTAATGGCTGGGACTCTTGGAATACACCTCAAAGGCTGTGGGAGAGCCAACCCAACTCACTGAGTAGTCTGTGCATATGGTGGCTTGTAGTCTGTGCCGTAAGAAATATAAAATTTTAAGTTTAGATTAAGAACTATAAAACTATAGGGTGCCCATAGAAAGTGGCTCACTCCTTGTTATTTATACTATCCAATTTTAAAAATCCAGTTTTAAAAATAAGCACTGAGTTATGTTAGTGTAAGGAAGGCAAATGATCCTCCCTTATTATGAAAAGTCTGAACTGGTGATATGTTCTTCCTGAATGTTTAGAAAAGAGGCAATGAGAGTACTTTGGTTTGGGTTCAAGTAAAAGGCTTTCAAATGAAGATTTTAGAACTGAAGAGCTCTGTGTTCAGGATTTATCATCTAATATCTCAAGGTTCACAAAGCCTGACCGTAAGAAGCCAAACCTAAACCAACCCACTCAGCATTAACACACACCTCTTTTCTTTTAGAATTTTACTTTAATAGAGTGAAAAGAAACCCAAAACCCTAATAGATTAAAACAAGTCAAACAACCACTCTACACAGATAAAACCTTCACAAAGGTCAACTGAAGTAATCCAGAGCTAAAACTGAATTGTGCAGATTTTCAATGAAGTCACCAGTCTTGTAACACAAACAAAAGTCAATTATTTACACACTAGGCAAGCCCTCTAAGAAATGTGCCCCAAGAAGCATTAACCTTTGTTTATTTGTGTGTGCCATCCTGAAGACTTGCACATTTTTTCAGATAATTTAACCTTCTTAATAGAATGTGATCTCTACCATGTGGTAATGCTTTGGTACTATTCATTTAGGATTGCTCATCCTAAAATGTGACATTTCCCCAGAGGAGCTTTGATTCTGCTTTAGAAGTTTCAATATAGATTAAAATCTTTATCAAATATCAATATGGAGGGAGGTGACACAGGATGCAACATATACAGTCAAGTTACCACTCTGTGTATTTAGAAATTACTCCTTCAAGGTATTTGCACCAGAGAGCTTAGTCTGTCCTGCTTCATATTCAGTAGTACAGGTTTGAATCATCAGAACCTTGGCAAGACCTTATTATTGCAAAATTATTAACAACTACCTCTAGGGGCAAGTCCATGTTACTGAGTTATGACAAATTTATTATCATGAAGGAAAACAAGTATAGCCAGCCATCTTAAAAAATGCCCCAACCACTGCTTCTCAATATAGAAAGACTAAAACTACATACGTTTATCATACAACAAATCCCATCTCTGTCCCCTGAAATTCCCCTAGTTTCATTCATTAGAAGGGGATTTAAAAAAAAAAAAAAAAAGACTTAAAGAGCACTTTACAGCAGCATTCAGCTTTCCTATGAAATACTCAGCATCTTAAATATTATGTACACTTCTTTTTTTCTTTTAGTAAGCTAGACACTGGCTTCAGAGTTTATGGAACTGGAGGAGAAATAACCACCCATTCAAAACTATTCTAGAAATTGTCTTTTGGCAGAATAGCAGGTATCAGAGTTAAAAATAAGAGGGTTTTGTTGCTTTGTTTTCTTTGCAAAATTTAAATCATTTTTGTTCCCCTTCTACCTAAACCTCAGTCACCACTCCTGAGTGGAGATGGGCAGAGGCTCTGGGCCCTGCTCCTCCGGCTTCTCAGCAGCTGTTTTCTTATTGCTGCAGCAAGGCTTGAAGAGATGCGTGTCAATGAGGACTTCCCCAAAACGGCCTTTATAGATAATCCCGCAACATATTTTCTGTCTAAAAGAAAAAAATGGGAAACAGATTAATAAGCTAGAAAACTAGTAATACAAGAAAACAAAGGGGGGAAAAAATCTCCATCCTTATAACTAAGTACCACATGAGCAAGCATTCCAAATGAAAGGCTCCTAGAGAGATCCCCAATTAGCTAAGTTATGGGAAATACCCAGGTCCCTTAAATCTCACACTGGAATCTTATCATATATTAAGGGGGGCAGGGGTCATTCTAAGAGAGAGCAGTCAGTTTCAGAAGCTGCTCCTAACATTGTAAACTGTTTCTTCTAAAAATCACTGACTCTTGGAAAAACAAAAACAAAAACAAAAACAAAAACCGCCATCATAAACAGGCTGATACAACTGGTAAATATATATACAATCAAATATACATAAAAAGGCATAAAAAATGACAGTACAACAAAATATCCATGGATCACATACTCTACGGGGGAAAAAAAATCATTTTTTATGAAGTACCCCTGTATGCCCTTCTCCAATCCCACTCTACCCCATCTCATTCTCTCCTCCTTAATTTTAAGCCTATCACTACTTTTTTTCTTTACACTTCATAGTTTTACCACATCTGCATCTCAACAGATATTGCTTGGTTATCTCCTATTTAAAAGAAACACATATATGGAATCATACTCTATGCTGCAATTTTTTTGCTCAACATTGAGGTCCATAGCTATTGTTAAGCAGAGCCTTTATTTCATTTTATGTATAGAATTCTACCATGTAAATATACATTCATCCACTCTCCTTTTACTGGGACAACTTCCACTACTACAAATATGCTATATGCATCAATGCATGCCTAAACGTTTTCTAGGTTGCTGGGATACAAAATGGAAACATGTTCATGTTTATTCAAAAATGCCAATTATTTATCAATGTGGTTCCCTTGTACTCCTATTTACTAAAGGTTTTAAGTTTTGAAGAAACATTCAAATTTATCAAACATCTTCAAAATACTGCTAAGATAGTAGGCATTTTTTCCCCTCCTTTACAAACTGTCAATGTGGCAAATTTCTATCAGTTGATTTTTAATGTTTAAACCAATCTTACATCCCTAGAATGAATCTAATCTGGTCATGATATACTCTTTTGCTATCAAAGTTATGTTAGCCTCATAGAATGCTTGGAGTCTATACTCTCTTTTACTCATCATCTGAAAAAGCCAATGCAAGATCAGAATCATTTGTTTCTAGAATGTTTGGCAGAACTCGCCTAAATGGGTCTGGGGTTTTGGAGGGAAGACTTTGACCAATGAATCAACTTATTATACTATACAGGTTTTCTATTTTTTTTCTATTTTTTGAGACAACTTAGGTAAACTTTTCCTACTAATGTATCCACTTCACCTATATGTTCAATTTATTGGCATACAGTTGTTTATAATGTGTGTCTTTTAAATTTGGTTTATTTATAGCTAAATCTCCCTTTCGTTATCCAAGATGCTTATGTGTATTCTCTTTTTTCTTTATCTGCTTCATCTTTAAGTAGTTTTTTTGGTCAGGTCTTTTTCAAGATCTAATTCGTATCTTTACTGATCATATTCGCTGCATACTGGTTTTCTACTCCATTTGTTTCTACTCTTATCTTTAAGACCTCCTTGCTTTCATTTTTCTTTGTATTGGGCTTCATTAATCTTTAAATTGGATACATATCACTTCATTTACTTTTAGTCATTCTTTTCTAAGCATTAAAGGCATTAACTTGGGGCGCCTGAGTGGTTCAGTCGGTTAAGCGTCTGTCTTCAGCTCAGGTCATGACCTCAGGGTCCTGTGATGGAGACCCACATCAGATTCCCTGCTCAGTGGGAAGCCTACTTCTCCCTCTTTCACTCCCCTCTGCTTGTGCATCCCCCTGCTTGTGCACGTGCTCCATGCTCTCTCTTGTGCACGCTGTCCAATAAATCAATGAATGAATGAATGAATGCATTAACTTTTCCTCCAACTCTTTGAAACTTCCTATCATTTGTTCTGATTCGTGGTATTTTTCAGTTGTTCTTTAGTTATAAAGGTTTTCTCATTTATATTATATTTTCTTCTTTGGACTCAGTTTCTTAATTTACAAATATATATAAGTTTTCTATTTCCATCTTGTTTTGCTAGGTATATTTAGGTATATTTTTAAATTTTCTGCCCGGCCCTTCTCAACTCTGGAGGTTTTCACTCTTTTTTTTTTTATTCTTTTAGTGGTGACATAGTTAATCTAGTCCCAAAGTTATTCAATATATTCATTCTCAACAATGCAAAGGATGTTAGGATACTTTAACTCTTATCACTATTATTGCCTAGACTTATGTTACTGTCTTGTAATTCGCTTTTTTTTATCCCACAACTATTGTTATTTCAAGGAGTCAGTGTTTGTTTAAATTCACCTAAATGTTTGCTACTTTAACTATCCTCAGAATTTTAATCTAGGATCTCTTTTTCTGCCTGTAGAACTTTGTTACTTAGGGTCAGCTTGGCAGCAAGTTCTCAAATTTTTTTCCCCAATCAAAAAGTCTTATACCCTTGTTCATAAAAGATAATTTTTTTTAGTTTGTTTATTTATTTTAAGTAATCTCTACACTCAATGTGGGGCTCAAACAACCTCATGATCAAGAGTCACACGTTCTTCCAACTGAGCCAGCCAGGCGCCCCAAAGGATACTTTTGCTACATATATATAATTCTAGGTTGAGGATTTCTATCTCTTGGTCCATTGAAAGTATTAATCTATTGTTTTTTGGCTTCCTTTGTTCATGCTCAGAACTCAGCTTTGTATGTTTGTTGTTCCTTTGAAAATAATGTCTTTATTTTCCCACTGCTTAAAGATCTATTTTGTCTTTCATGTTCCACAGTTTCACTGTAACAAGTCATCTATGGGTGAATTTTCTCTACTATAAGATAAATGATTATTATCTCACTTTTGTTAGTCTTCCCCAAATCTGTGAAAAAGAAAACCCTTAATCATTTCTCTTTGAATCTTCTCTTTCTTGGTCTATTCTCTTTTTTGACTTTGGGGGCCCCACATTCACTTAGCATTTTGGTCTTTGATTATTCCTTTTTAATTTACTCACCTATCAATGCTATTTTTAAAGACTTAAAAATATATATTTCTACCTTTTACTTTTTTCAGTGAGAGAACTGGTCAGAATACCTAGTCTACTCCATTATAGGAAATTTAGGTTCCCTAACATGATTTTTATTTTATATCAATTTTAATAGGAAGAGTATACAAAATCCCAACTCTCAGCTCAATTCTTGCTTAATCCACCTACAACCATGTGTGCTACCAGCTGTTTGCCAAATGCCATTTAATTGCTAAGGAAGTGTGAAACCATTGCCTGTAATTAAGAAGGTTTGCTGGTTAGAGAGATATTTTCTGCTGCTTTTACCTTTTCCAGTATGTGAGATCTAAAAAGGAAAAAACTGGCGTTCTGTTAGAGCCAGAGGCCATCTCTGTATCTGAGCCATCATCTGACTGGTTACTGTAACAAGGAGATTGAGCTGGGGAGGCACTTGAGGTGGTACTGTGGGCATCAGAATCTGCAATAAAGAGAAAAGAAATGTATAATTTCATTATATGCAACTAAGGCTCAACATAAAAAACTGTGAATGAATTAGTAAAAGGATTTATTTTCTATTCACTATTGGTATTTGAAGACATTTGTACTAAAGTGTTTCTAAAAGAAAATGAGGACATAAGCTTCTATGAAGATAAGAATAGACATACTTTTTCCCCATTCCTCCTCCTAATAAATAAGTACAACTAAAAACCCTGGATATTACATATAAAACAATCTTAAAGACTCTAAAAGTTGGCAAGAGTTAGAGAGCCTGACCCAAGGAAAGACATGGTGGTGAGTTCCCTAGCTTTTATGGGTTTTCTTTTTGCCTCATAAATCCCCGTCTTGGAGCTAGAGAAGCCAGCAACCCAGAAATGCCAAATGGGTATAGATTAAAAAAAAAAAAAAGTGCCAACAAAACCCGGCTCTCAACAAAAGGCCAGGAGGAAAGTGGTACCCTAACAAGACAGAAAACTTTTATTAGATAATAATCACTCTACTCAAGCACCATAAAAAAAAAAAAAAAGGGACCCAACCCCACCCACCCCAGCATAGGCCAAGTGGGGAGCCTAAGATTTCCATCCTTTTAAGATTGGTATGAAACCCTCAACTCCACCAGGGTGTCAAGAGGAAGCCTGTTGAAGAGTCAGGCCTTTCACCACGGCCCACTAGGAATGAGTATCCCCACCATGTGGGAGCTTTAACTCCCACCCCCATCCCATAGCAATGAGGTGCTCCTCCCACCTCAGGTGTCAATGGAGGTTGAGGGGGGAACGAACCTGACTTTTAACACCACTGGGCAGTAACTTTTAACATCTCTGCTACAGGGGTGTCCAAAAAACCCCACTAAAATCAAAGGTTTAAATAAGAAGATCCATAACATAATTTTTAAATGTCCAGGTTTCGATTTTTTATTTAAATTCAATTTAATTAACATATACAGTATTATTAGTTTCAGAGGTAGAGTTCAGTGGTTCATCAGTTGCATACAACACCTAGTGCTCATTACATCAAGTGCCCTCCTTGATGCCCATCACCCAGTTACCCCATCCCCCCACCCACCTCCCCTCCTGCAACCCTCAGTTTGTTTCCTACAGTTAACAGTCTCTTAATGGTTTGTCTCCCTTCCTATTTTCATCTGATTTTATTTTTCCTTCCCTTCCCCTATGTTCTCTGTTTTGTTTCTTAAATTCCGCAGGTTTCAATGTAAAAAAATGCCTCAGGGGCACCTGGGTGGCTCTGCCGGTTTAAGGCCCAACTCTTGATTTCCACTCAGGTCTTGATCTCAGGGCCTGTAGGTTTGGGCCCCACTTTGGACTCCACCCTGGGCATGGAGACTACTTTAAAAAAAAAAAAAAGAGGGGTACCTGGGTGGCTCAATTGGTTAAGTGTCTGACTCTTCATTTCAGCTCAGGGTCATGATTTCAGGGTCCTGGGATCAAGCCCCATGTAGAGCTCTGCTCAGCAGGCAGTCTGCTTGAGGATTTCTCTACCTCAGTCCTTCCCCCTCCCTTGCACTCTCCCTCAAATAAAAAAATCATATAAAAAAAAAAAGAGAATCCCTTATAGGGGAACATATGGTAGAGCTCAGTTGATAGAGCATTCGACTCTTGATCTTGGGGTCATGAGTTCGAGTTCCACACCCAGGGCAGAGTTTACATACATACATACATACATACATACATACATACATACATTCATTAAAGAATTTAAAAAAAAAACATCCAGAACCAAGATCTCAAACTGAAAGAACAGGTAAGCCGATATTAGCACCAAGATGACAGAGATGTTAGAATTAACTGACCAACATTTTAGCACAACTATGACAAAAACGCTCCAGTGAACCATCACGAACATAACTGAAACAAATAAGAGTCTCCATGAATATATCTCAGTTTAAAAAATAAATAAAAGCTATAAAGAAGAACCAAGTGGAACTGAAATTTGAACTGGGAAAAAAAAAAACAGTAAATGAAATAAAAAGCTCAGTGGATGTGCTTAACAGCAGAATGGAGGGGACAGAGGAAATAATCAATGAACTGGAAGAAAGAACAACAGAAATTACCCAACCCGAACACCACAGAGAAAACAACTGAAAAGAGACTTAGAGACCTCTGGGACTATAACAAAAAAAAATCTGCATTTGTGCCACTGCAGTCCTGGAAAGAGAGAGAGGGTGGAGGTGAAAATGTACTCAAAGAAACAGAATGGCTGAGGGGCACCTGGGTGGCTCAGTTGGTTGGGTGACTGCCTTTGGCTCAGGTCATGATCCTGGAGTCCCTGGATTGAGTCCCGCGTCGGGCTCCCTGCTCAGCGGGGAGTCTGCTTCTCCCTCTGACCCTCCCCCCTCTCATGCTCTCATTCTCTCTCTCAAATAAATAAATAAAATCTTTAAAAGAAAAAAAAAAGAGGGCGCCTGGGTGGCTCAGTTGGTTAAGCGACTGCCTTCGGCTCAGGTCATGATCCAGGAGTCCCGGGATCGAGTCCCACATCGGGCTCCCTGCTCAGCAGGGAGTCTGCTTCTCCCTCTGACCCTCTTCCCTCTCGTGCTCTCTATCTCTCATTCTCTCTCTCAAATAAATAAATAAAATCTTTAAAAAAAAAAAAAAAAAGAAATAGAATGGCTGAGAACTCACCAAATTTAGCAAGAGACATAAACCGATATATTCAAGAAGCTGAGCAAACCCCAAACAGGATATACTCAAAGAAATCAATACCAAGACACACCATTAACTAAATCTTTTTTTTTAATTAACTAAATTTCTTAAAACTAAAGACAGAGGAAAAAATCTTAAAAGCCAAAGAAAAACAATACCTTACCTATAAAGGAAAAATAGTAAGATCTTGATTTCAAAAGGAATAAGGCAATTCATCAGATACAAGCTAAACATGATTTAGTATTTTTGCCCTTAAAAGACAAGTCAAATTTACAAGCCAGAAAATAAATGTTTTGGTTGATGGTCACCATGCTCTAAGGCTTTCATGCTGCTATTTTCCTGTCACAACAATATCACAAATAAGGGTCAAGCTTACCACACTCCCCCCTCCCAGGATAGGTGGATACAGCAATCCTCCAATTCAAAAGAACCAATTATTTATTTTATTTTAAAAGATTTTATTTATTTATTTGACAGAGACAGCAAGAGAGAGAGAACACAAGCAGGGGGAGTGGGAGAGGGAGAAGTAGGCTTCCCGCCGAGCAGGGAGTCCGATGTGGGGCTCGATCCCAGGACCCTGGGATCATGACCTGAGCTGAAGGCAGACGCTTAATGACTGAGCCACCCAGGTGCCCCAGGAACCAATTTTTTTTTTAAAGATTTATTTATTTATTTGAGAGAAAGAGAGCGCATGCAAGTGGGGGGAGGGGCGGGGGAAAGGGAGAAAGGGTGTCAAGCAGACTCCACGTTGAGCATGGAGCCCAAATGGGGACTCCCATCTCCTGACCCTGAGAGATCACAACCCAAAAGGACACAAAACCCACCATGCCACCCAGGTGCCCCCCAATTAGTATTTAGTAAGGACGTACCTATTACATATCAAACCCCATGTCATATCCTACATGGCAAGAAACAGACTAAAAAAAACCCTATGAAGAGAGCTTATAGTGCTTTGTATTAACAAAAGTTTACCTACAGGGGCGCCTGGGTGGCTCAGTTGGTTAAGCGACTGCCTTCGGCTCAGGTCATGATCCTGGAGTCCCAGGATCGAGTCCCGCATCGGGCTCCCTGCTCGGCAGGGAGTCTGCTTCTCCCTCTGACCCTCTCCCCTCTCATGTGCTCTCTCTCTCTCATTCTTTCTCTCAAATAAATAAATAAAATCTTAAAAAAAAAAAAAAAGTTTACCTACAAAATCCTCAAGAATAGCAGGCTTTAAGAAATAAGTCTACTGGAATGTTTAAAAGACTTCCCCAACAATCAGCAGCAGCAGCAATCAGCTCAATGCTGGTTTTGAAGAAAACTCATTATCACAGGAAGTGCTTAGCATCTAAGAAACAATTCTGAAGCTGCAGTTTATTAGACCATTTTCTACCTATAAAAATGGCAATTTCATATGGTTTAATCTAACACTTGGGATACTAGAATACAACTAACTATGTAAGAATGCAGTAAGGAAGAAAATTCTCTTCTAGAATGCAGGCCTGGAAATTCTTCAAAGAACTACAATTTTTAAAATCTTAAAAACCGTGGAATTTGAAAAGGCACAAAGGAGTAATTAGCTAGCATGGAATAGGTAGAGATGATAAGCAAAGTAGTGGAAGCAGAATACACCATGCACAGGAAGGGAACTGACTCAGCCCAAATATTCTTTGCCTAAAATAGGACCTCCAAAAGACTCACTAGGGATTTTCAACTTTATTCCATAGCAACCAGAATTCATTGTAGATTTTAAGAAGGATGACAGGGGCACCTGGGTGGCTCAGGCATTAAGTGTCTGCCTTCAGCTCAGGTCATGATCCCAGGGTCCTGGGATCGAGCCCTGCATCGGGCTCCGGGCTCGGCGGGAAGCCTGCTTCTCCCTCTCCCACTCCCCCTGCTTGTGTTCCCTCTCTCGTTGTGTCTCTGTCAAATAAATAAAATCTTAAAAAAAAAAAATGACAAAAAATAACATTTATATAGGAATTTGTTTTGTTTTACAAAACCCTTTTTAACCTGATTATCCCCATTTCTCAGATTAGAAAAATATGGTTCAATGTTCAGTGCCACGAGGGTCACATATTTGTTAAGTTTCAAGAACAGTAACTCAAATCCAGATCTTTAAGCTCTAGGTCTAATGCCTTTCCAGTATATCACACAAAAGAAAGAGTATCTCAGAAAGAGAAATAAAGGTCAGGTACACGCAGGATGCATGGAAGCAAATATATGACCAGAGGTGGGAACACCATTTAGTGGGTGATGTATAAAAATTCAAGTAACTCAAAACTGTTGTGTTGCACACAGGTGCTATCAATTCACAATGCACACAGGAAAACCCTGCTTCAGTCTAAGCCTACAAAGCCCACACACCTTTTTCAAAGGGACTTATTTTCAGTCTCCAATCCCTCCCTCTACAATACAGCTTTATAATAAAAATCTAAAATTACACTGGAAATATTCCCTTAGGTAAGGCAAAACTGAGTCAGGTATCACTTTCCCTATAATTAAAGGGAGGAGCTAAGACTATACATATGAATAATCAATTCCTCTAATCGTCAAGCGGTAGAAGAAAATTACTATTTTCCAAATGTTCATTAAAACTTAGTCGGAATAGAGGCGCCTGGGTGGCTCAGTCATTAAGCGTCTGCCTTCGGCTCAGGTCATGATCCCAGGGTCCTGGGATCGAGCCCCGCACCGGGTTCCCTGCTCCACGGGAAGCCTGCTTCTCCCTCTCCCACTCCCCCCTGCTTGTGTTCCCTCTCTCATTGTCTCTCTGTCAAATAAATAAATAAAATTAAAAAAAAAACTTAGTTGGAATAGAGGACAGAATTAGTCTTTTTCTATTCCCCAGGTGATAGCTGATTAAGAAGGGAACACATGTAAACAAATAATCCAGTTACAAAATGGGCAGAGGACCTTCATAGACATTTTTCCAAAAAAAGAAAAGGACAAAATATAACAAGTGTTGGCAAGGATGTGAAGAAAAAGGAACCTTTGTGCACTGTTGTTGGGAATGCAAACCAGTGCAACCACTGTAGAAAACAGTATGGAGGTTCCCTCAATAAACTTAAAAATAGAAATATGTGATCCAGTAATTCCACTACTGAATATTTACCCAAAGAAAATGAAAACACTAATTTGAAAAGATGTATGCACCCCTATGTTTATTGAAGCATTATTTACAATAGCCAAGGTATGGAAGAACCCAAGTGTCAATCTATACAGATAAACAAAGATGAGGGGTGAGCATATATGTATATGTGCACACACACGTGCAAAAATATTACACAAAAAGTTTGCAGTTGTGTGGATAGAGCTAGGGAGTATTATGCTAAGCAAAGTAAGTCAGAGAAAGACAAATACCATATGATCTCACTCATATGTGGAACGTAAGAAATAAGAGATAAACGGGAGGAGGTTGGCAAACCAGAAAACACTCTTAACTATAGGGAACAAACTAGGGGTTACTGGAGGGCGGGCGGGGGGAGAATGGGCTAAATGGGGGAATGGATATTAAGGAGGGCACGTGTTGTGATGAGTATTATATGTAAGTGATGAATCACTAAATTCTACTCCTGAAACTAATATTACACTGTATGTTAACTAACTGGAATTTAAAAACTTGGGGGGAAAAAACATTTTTTAAATAAAAAAGAACACGTATAATTAAAATACACACAGATTTGATATTACCTAAATATTTTACTTTGAAGTATTAAGATATTTTAGCCAGAGATTAAATATATCATCAGAATAACCATGGACTAGTAACACCTACTTAAAAGAGCAGAAAGTTAGCAGAAGATCTGCAAAGATTTCAGAGTCGTGGGTATTGATTATACTACCCCAGAGAGCAGGGTGCTATTACAGGTGGAGCACAGGGCTTTGAAGTCAAGACAAACATGAGGTCGAATTCATCTCTATCACCTTTACTAAGTGACCTGGGTCAAGATTAAATCACCACTCTACTTCCTATCCTAATCTCTAAAACAAATTATTGAGATAGTTATGTATGTAAAGTGCTTGGTACATATACCAAAATGCCCAAGAGATGATAGTTCTCCTTTCCTCACTCTACCTTCTTAGTATATTTAACTATCTTTTACCATTATTCTAAAACAAGCATTGACTGGTAATATTTTGTCCTACAAACTGTTATTATATTTGTCCTACAGGGTCCAACAGATTGTTCTTTTAATCCTGAAAACTCTATTACCGGTCCACAACCCCTACCTACAATTTTGAAAAAGCTCTGAAAACAGAAAGTTCGGCCACAAAATCTGGCCTGACCTGAATTATAAAATTAGCGTAGCTAAGGGATGCCTGGGTGGCTCAGTCGCTTAAGCATCTGCCTTCGGCTCAGGTCATGATCCCAGCGTCCTGGGATCGAATCCCACATCGAGCTCCTTGCTCAGTGGGGAACCTGCTTTTCCCTCTGCCTGCTGCTCCCCCTGCTTGTGCTCTCGGTCTCATTCTCTTCCACACCCCCTCTCAAATAAATAAAATAAAAATAAAATCTTATTTAAAAAAAATTAGGGTAGTTAAACCTGACTAGCCCATGCAAGTTTTATTTATTCCACCTATGTGAATACTCCTAAATTTGTGCTACAGAAATACTAATGTGGGCGCCTGGGTGGCTCAGTTGGTTGGGTGGCTGCCTTTAGCTCGGGTCATAATCCTCGAGTCCCTGGATCAAGTCCCGCATCGGGATCCCTGCTCGGCGGGGAGTCTGCTTCTCTCTCTGACCCTCCCCCTCTCGTGTGCTCTCTCATTCTCTCTCAAATAAATAAATAAAATCTTTAAAAAAAAAAAGAAATACTAATGTGTTTGATTCAGTAGTGCTGCCTTAGAAACCCTCCCACTTGATCCAAATGCTACATATAACATTATATGCACTGCATTTCCTTTTCAAACCCTGAAATTCTAAATTCCGAAATATTTAAGTGCCACTACAGGTGCTGTCTCCTTCAACAACTTCCTTTAATAAGAGTATATGAACCTAATACTAGCTTGTCATTCCTTTCCCATTCCATCACACACAACACACACTGCCCCAGAAACCTAAAGTCCTGAGGCTAGCTTTACTGCAATATGTGAGTTATGATTTCTAAAGTTACTTTCCAGAAAACCTGGGCTTTGGTCTCATATTGTCCACTAATTATTTACATACCTTTTCTGCACATCTCCAGACCTCAATTTCTTTATGCATAAAAAACAAGTGAACAAACTTGAAAACCGCATCTTCTAGAAAGTTTCAGATGGTAATAAAGAGATCAGAGTGGTCATAGGGGTCTCCACACAATCTGAATAAGTGGCTAGTCAAAGCACTTTGATGATATCAAAATTAGAGTTTCAAGAGTCCATAGAAATGTCTCTACAGTACACAATGCCTTCACTTTTTTAATAGAAATTTAAGAACTCTATACATACCATAGGCCACCCCCCCAGACAAAAATAAAAACCAAACAACTATTCTTAAGTACCCATATTTCAATATCAAACTTACTGTGACGTTTAAATTCCTTCTGTAGTTTACTGATCTGGTTGCTTTTTATCCTGTTTCCAGATAGAGTTTTCACTTTCTTTGGTTTCAATGTAGTCTTCAGACTGGGTCCTGCCCTTGCATCTACCACCTGGAAGAAAATACTGAATATTTAATACCATTTAAAAAATGACACCTCTTGTATTCCTTTGGTTCAGATAAATGCCTATTTGAAGAAGCCAAAATTGAGAACCAGTTTTCTACTCAGAGTGTGTGAGAGTCCACATGAACTTTTTTTTTTTTAAAGATCTTATTTATTTATTTGACAGAGAGAGACACAGCAAGAGAGGGAACACAAGCAGAGGGAGTGGGAGAGGGAGAAGCAGGCTTCCCGCCGAGCAGGGAGCCCGATGCGGGGCTCGATCCCAGGACCCCAGGATCATGACCTGAGCCGAAAGCAGACGCTCAGTGACTGAGCCACCCAGGCGCCCCTCCACGTGAACTTTTAATCATCACATGATTTTAAAGAATAAACAGTCCTGGGATCGAGCCCCGCATCCGGGTCCCCGCTCCGGCGGGAAGCCTGCTTCTCCCTCTCCCACTCCCTCTGCTTGTGTGGCTGTGTCTTTGTCAAATAAATAAATAAAATCTTTAAAAAAAAAAAAAGAATAAACAGTTCATCTAGTATTTTTTTCCTTTGAAGCAGGCAATACTGTGTGCTGTACAAAAAACTGAAGTAGATACGAACCATGAGAGACGATGGACTCTGAAAAACTGAGGGTTCTAGAGGGGAGGAGGGTAGGGGGATGGGTTAGCCTGGTGATGGGTATTGAAGAGGGCACATTCTGCATGGAGCACTGGGTGTTATGCACAAACAATGAATCATGGAACACTACATCAAAAACTAATGATGTGGGCGCCTGGGTGGCTCAGTTGGTTAAGCGACTGCCTTCGGCTCAGGTCATGATCCTGGAGTCCCGGGATCGAGTCCCGCATCGGGCTCCCCGCTCAGTGGGGAGTCTGCTTCTCCCTCTGACCCTCTTCCCTCTCGTGCTCTCTATCTCTCATTCTCTCTCTCTCAAATAAATAAACAAAAAAAAAATTAAAAAAAAAAAACTAATGATGTAATACATGGTGATTAACATAACAATAAAAAATTAAAAAATAAAAAACTGAAGTAGATTTATATATGGTAAGAATGACCAAAGAGGTTAAAGAAAATCAAGCCTAACAACAACTAACATTTCTACAAGACAGTGTTTTAAGGTTTACAAAAAGCTTTCATACACTTTTGATTTTACCTTCACTACAAAGTAGTAAGGGGACTATTTTTGTTACTCCAATTTAGGGTGAAGAAAAACAAGAGAAATTCTCTTTTGCTTTATTTCACTAAGATAGTAAATGGGCGAGAATGGGTAGAAAGGGGTACAAGACCAAATCAAGGTTTTCACACCTACGCTTTACGCTCTTTTCACTATACGCTTTTATCCCTGAGGTCATTTACATGGCAATGCTATGTTCTCTCACTGCCTAGCATGGCACTGGTCCAGCCCTGCCTGGTACCACTTCTCATGAATTCATTCACCTTTACTATTTGCACATTTCCACCCATAAAAAGGTTGCCATCACCTTCAAAAATCACAATTTGGATTGTCTCTAGATAAGCTATTATTAAGAGAAAACTCACTTTTTAAATAACTTTTTTATAAGTCATAAGACCCACAAAAACCTATAATAATGTAACATGGTCACCAAACAACAATGTAAGGCTACTGTTAGGAAAAAAGATAAAGAGGGGCGCCTGGGTGGCTTAGTCGTTAAGCGTCTTTCTTCAGCTCAGATCATGATCCCAGGGTCCTGGGATCAAGCCCCGCATCGGACTCCCTACTTCTCCCTCTCCCAATCCCCCTGTTGTGTTCCTGCTTTCGCTGTGTCTCTCTCTGCCAAATAAATAAAATCTTTAAAAAAAAAAGGAGAAAAGATAAAGAATAAATGTCTGCCTGCTTAAAAACAAGTATTCTGTATAAATGCCATAAACGTTCTAAAAGCTAGCATACAAAAGAATTAAGTAAGACTTAACAGTGTTGTTTTGGTCATTGAAAACCAGTGACCATGAGCAAGTAGAACACACATTTACATACCAGTATAACCTCAACCAGATTTAAATATAGAGAATAAGAATAGCTTCCACATAATTGATCACTATGTGTTAGACTTTACATATATAATCTCATTCAGTTCTCAAAAGAGCTATGAGATAGCTATTATCCTTGCACTTTATAAGTAAATGTAACTTGCCCAAAGTTCACAATTACTAAGTGGTAACAGCAGGATTGAAATCCAGTTGATTCTAAACCCCATGCGCTCATGATGGTACCACAGTGAGTTAGGATAAATGTTATCCTAAGAGATGAAAAAAGGATCCATGTCTAATTAACTGGAGGAATGTGTGTTAAACCTAAAAATATGTGAATGTACACTGTGAATCTCCAAAATGAGGATATTGGATACAGCCTTAGGGAAATGTTACACCAAGCTATTTTGCTTCTAAACATGCCAAAATGTTAAGTAATTATATCTGAGCAGTAACCGTTTATTTTTTTTCCACTTTTCCATCTGAGGGATGTACTACTTCCTAAATTAGGGGGAAAACTGAAGTTACTTTAAATGTAAAAGAGGTATAACTAACAAAGACAAAAGATGAACTAACATGATTCCAGTTTTTTTTTGATCCTGCTGGCAATTTCTTCCATCTTTTCACAAGCAGGACACAGGCGTTACAGATGTCTCCAGAACGGGTCTCATGCAACCTGATAAGAAAACAATCAAACCTTTATTAGTCTCATTTACATTAAAGAATTCATGCAGGGGCACTGGCCGGCTCAGTTGGTAGAGCATGCAACTCCTGCTCTGGGGGTTTTAAGTTTGAGCCCCATGTTGGGTGTAGACTTTACATAAAAATAAAATGTTAGGGGGAAAAAAAGAATTCATGCAATTACATTTCTTTTAGAAAAAAATACACCCGATTATAGTTTATAGATGCTATTTCTAATTGTCCTGGATGACCCAGTTCCATTGTTTCTGTGGTACTTTTTATTAAATCCTTGATCCAATGAACCAATTTTATGTACTGCAATTTGGTCATCCTAAAATAATGTTTTTAAAATTAAATAATAGTAAAATTTAAGACCTAGAGAAGATCCTCGTCACCATGGTTTCAAACAATGTAGTCCAATTAATCTTTTTGAAGTGTGTAGGTACTTCCACAAACAAAATGTCACCTTTTAAGTAAAATAATGTATCATGATATTCTAGTTTTACAAGACACGTTAACTGGAGAGGCACTGTAATTTTTTCAAAATGATTGCATCTGCACAGGGGTAAAAATCTATAGGACTAGTCACCAAGCTCTTTTTTAAATTTTATCTTTGAGAAACAGATTTAATACATTTTTCCTGTATTACAAATACATACAGAAAAATACTGGTAACTTTTATCATGTATACCACTGGAAACATTAAAAGAAAAATGTAATTTAAAAAGGGAAGGTCAGGGGAAATTCTTTGACAACCTTCAAAATAATTACAAAATCCAGGATTAATAAACAATCACCAGGTATTTTGATTTAAAAAAGGTGGTAAAAATAACTTGGGAAATGGTTCAACACTAAGTATTCTACCCAAGTGTTTGTCAGAAAGTAAATTCCATTCTACTAACCAGAGGTTTATTGTCAAAAGATAAATGAGGGGCACCTGGATGGCTCTGTCAGTTAAGCGTCCAACTCTTGATTTCAGCTCAGATCATGATCTCAGGGTCCTGGGATGGAGCCCCACCTACTGCCTGCACTCAGTGGGGAGTCTGCTTGATTCTCTCTCTTCCCCCCCCAAAATAAAGAAATCTTAAAAAAAAAAAAAGATAAGTGAAGAACAAAATTATAAAATGAAACATATCCTGACAGACTTCAGGGCAGAACATTAAGTCCTGTTATTATCCTCAGGAGGCTGAGTTAAAATACATTTCCATAATTTAGAAAAACAAAGCAAAGAATAGAAAACTATCGGAAGACAACGACTATTAAGAGAGAGTAAGAGTAAAGTCTCTATATATCTTGAAGTTAAAAACAAAAGAGTTTGGTATAACTAAGAGGCTTCCGATACAGTACAGTAGTTCCTTATAATCTGGAAAAGGGTTAAGTAATCAGTACTGTTTGGTTCGTTTTCAAAGCAAGAGCCTTAAAATAGCCTAGATGAGAATGCAAGTGATTTTAATTTATTAGCACGTCACTCCAATTGCCTGCCTTGCTTGGAAATATTTCCATAAGCTGTGATCTTTTTCACTCTAAGAATGGTAAAAAAACATCAGATGATCTTACCCAAAACAGCTCTGGAAGTCCTTTTCATAGCGTTTACTGTCAGTGAATCGAGAACTGGAGGACTTCGCTCTGCAAATACAGCAGCCCTCTATACTTCGGTACATCTTTGGCTTGTGAAAACCAAACATCTTTTCTTCTGGGCAATAGTCTGTAAAGCCAAGGGAATTGACACAGCTTTGTTTAGGGCTGTAACAGGGAACCATTAAAAGGAGAGTTCTCTGCTCCACCCCACCCCCAGCAACTTGCTATTACATGACCAAGCCAGACAGGAGGGCTCTGGGGAAGACCTCCCGGAAATACCGCCATTCTTGGCACTAGCATGGCAAGTGCATAAAAACACAAGGAATAGCTCAGTTATTTAACAAGGCCTCTACCACACCTCCTTCTACTCCACTGGCAACACTCATTCCAAAAATGAGGGGAGGGAGGCATTTTTTAGAAATCAACTTTTTAAGTAGAAATTATAACAAACTCTCCCCACTATAAAATGATGGAATCATACACAATGAAGGACACATCCTAAAATTTAAGATAAGGCACCCCCCCCTTCTATTTTGCACCTTTGCATGGATATGATTCCCCGCTGGGGAAGTTCTGAGCATTTACCATGACCACTATTTGATACTAAGAACACAAGTAGCTCAATATGCATCAATCCACAATACTTTGCCCTATGGGAAGTTAGAGGGGATTTCTTCCGTGATAAATGGGAAGTTCTAAGCCAGCAAGTTGACTATGAATTAAAACTACTGAAAGCAGGATGTAAAATTAACAAAAATCCAGGGTCAGGATTTAAGAATAATAATTTTGTAAATCATTAAAATGAATTAAAAACAAGCTCATATTTCTTGACCATTGGTCTAGTTCAGCTGTTACAGAAGTTTCTGGAGCTCTTCTATGAAGCCCTGTGCCTGAGAGCAGTAATAAATAGTGAGAGGCAGATGTCCAAGAAATGTAGGGTGAGATAAATTATGATTTTCATGATAAAAAAAAAAATCTCAACATCAAGCAAGGAAGACACAACTCTAGAGCTACATGTAGCGAACAAAAATGTAGCTGGCAGTAAATAACCATCTTAGAAGAAATTTAGAATATCCAAACCAGGGGAGCCTGGGTGGCTCAGACGGTTAAGCACCTGCCTTCGGCTCAGGTCATGATCCCAGGGTCCTGGGATCCAGCCCCGCATCGGGCTCCCTGCTGAGCAGGGAGCCTGCTTCTCCCTCTCCCTCTGCTGCTGCTTCCCCTGCTTGTACACTCTCTCTCTGTCAAAAATAAATAAAAAATCTTAAAAAAAAGAATATCCAAACCAAGGGCCAGTTTCACCGGAACATCTGGTGTTCTTTTATGGTATCCCCTAAGAGAGGGACTAAAAAGGCAATGAATATAGAAACTAAACCCCAGTGGGTGTTAAGAGTCCAAATACAAATCATCACAAAAGCATCACATACAGCATCAGTAAGAGAAAATTATTAATACCAATCAGATTGGTGCCCATAGTTTTAGGAGTCATAACCATAGAACACCCACTTTTAAAGGTCTTTTAGAAACACAATGAAATATAGGAGTAAAACAAAAACTTTGGTATGTCTTTGGATGATCTATCTGATCCCATTCCATCTCAATTCTGGTTAGTATACCAGAGCAAGTATTTATAAAAGCAATTCACAGAAATAATCTAATATCCAGGCTGTGTGTGTGTGTCTGAGTTTGAGGGATTCTGAAATATGGACAGAGGATTTATGATTTATTTTTAAGAAAATGTTTTATGAGCAAACAATTAGCTAAACACTGAAGCTTTCCTTTTAAACGGGCTATTGTTTATCAAGTGTTCTTTAATGTTTTTGTTGGTGAGGGAGGCAGGCAAAGAAGGGAGATGGGGCGGGGCAGAAGGCCACTGATGCATTTCAATAATTAAGCCTAAACAGTTATTTCAATTTAAGAATTGTTCAAACAAGAAAACAAAATATTCCTAGTTGATTATTTTTGTTAAATGGAGCACTTAGGAATTTGATTTTTTTGAGAGAAAAAATGAGGAAGATACTCTATATAGTAGGAAGAGGTATAGTAAGTAAGGCCTGTGAAATGAGATAGTTTTTCCCCAAACAACAAACCCAAATGATAAATGAAAAGAAAATGTCCTGGGGTGTCTGGGTGGCTCAGTTGGTTAAGCGTCTGGGGGTTCATGATCCCAGGGTCCTGGGATTGAGTCCTGTATTGGGCTCCCTGCTCAATGGGGAGCCTGCTTCTCCTTCTCCTGTTCTCCCTGCTTGTGCTCTCTTGCTCTGTCAAATAAATAAAATCTTAGAAAAAAGTGTCCTGAAGAAAATGACTGTATTCCTGTTTTGAGGCAAAAATGTTACTCTTTCCAGTCCTCACAACTAACCTGTGGGCTCTCCAAACTCCCCTAACATTCTCCATTACCATCAAGGTCAAAAGTCCACACTTCCTCTTACAGTCGCCAGCTTCATCAATAGCTCTAGGAAACTTCAGCCTCCCTTCTCAGCAAGGACAAAGGAAGTACAGCAAGAAAGGCCAGTTCATTCCATTAATACACAGACCAAATCCTATTACAACAGATAGATTCCTCTCTCTCCACTTACAATCCCCTCCCCTCTCCACAAATAAACATACCATCAAAACCATACAGCATTCGGGTCATCTCCAAGATAGGAACTATCTTCAATGAGGTTGGATTTGACCAAGAAACACAGTTTGTGCTAGTTATTACACTAGCAAGCTTTTAAGGAATGCTAGGGTTACAGCTAAATACTGAGGCCTTCCATTTTATAAGCAGCTATTGTGAATCAAGTGTTCATCTTCAATTATGATTTTTTTCTTGGTGGGGATCTCCACAAAATTTACCCAACAGTCCCCACAAGACATCCCAGTCTTCAGATTGAGTAATATTTTTTTTAGATATCAGGGGAAATCGCCTGATATCTTCTGATTGACAATCCTTTATGCAGCTCTGAGACCTTATGTTCGTCCTGATACAATTCTGCTTCAATGTCTGAGAGGAAGTAAATCCTAGGGTCCATGCTTTTCTAGGCAGTGCTAAATGCAGTAAGGTGCAAGGCATTCACCTGATGCAACACACAAGTAGTGTATGAATCTTTCAATGGATCACTTAAACCTATTAAACCTTTTCTGCGCTTATTCCTGCATTTGAGAGGCACCTGGGAATCTGCAGCAAATACACAGGGGTTTCATTTTGGGCTTTGTTTACAGCAACCCAGTTAAGCAGTGGTTGGTGTTTTAACCATTTTGTGCTTTGGGGAGCCCAGAAATTAAGGAAAGTATTTTCACAGAATCTACAGACCCGCTGTTTAAAAAATTTAAAAAATAAAACAAAAACAACCCTAAAAAACCTACCCACTGTCTGGAGGAAAAGGACACAAAATGGCTCTAAAACCAACTTACTTTTTATATTTGAGAAGGTGGTAGGTAGGTGTGACACAACTAGATTTTAAACCTGGAATTTGTTATTTCAACAAACCTGGTGGTTCCTTGGAATACTTCTTTCCTAGTCCCACATTTGTGCAATATTAAACGATTCCTCCAGAACAATTTTATTTGTTCAAAGACACTGTAAGCTATTAAACTATTTGTGACTTTTGCATCTATTCTCACAGGAGTCACATCATTCGGCACTGTTTTCAGAGACGGAAGCTAATACCATCTGCTTCCTAATTGATGAATAATTACAGAAGAGAATGGGCACCATACAATCTTGCTCTTAAGTGTGTGGGGAAAGCAGAAGAAAATTAAGCTTTGAGATAAAGCCAAAAATCAGGAAAGACAAAATGCTTATTAAAAACTGCCATTTGTCTTCTAAAATTAGAAGAGTGGTGATGGTTGCAAAACTCTGTAAATATACTAAAAACCACTGAATTGTACACTTTAAAAGTGAATTTTATGGTGTGTGAATTATATCTCAAAAAGCTTCTTTTAAAAAATGAAAACAGGGGCGCCTGGGTGGCTCAGATGGTTAAGTGTATGCCTTTGGCTCAGGTCATGATCCCAGGGTCCTGGGATTGAGCCACGCACTGCGGGGGGGGGGGGGGGGGGCCTGGCTCAGCGGGGAGCCTGCTTCTCCCTCTCCCTCTGCCTCTTCCCCTGCTCATGCTCTGTCTCAAATAAAATCTTTAAAAAAATAATAAAAATAAAAAAATAAAAATGAAAACAGACTGGGTTAGGAATTTTCCTGTCTTTATATATCTTTGTAACCACTTAGTAAGTACTCAATAAATGTGATTAAACTTTTTTAACAAGTTGTTATTTCTTTTAAAAAGTTGCTGTTTATACAGCATTTCATGTTTTATAAGGCACTTTCATTAACATTATTTCTTCGGCTGCTGTCAGCCAAATAGCCACAAATTTTTACTGTTCTGTCCAACTTAATCCAATCTCCCAAAGGGTGCCTGGGTGGCTCAGTTGGTTAAGCGACTGCCTTCGGCTCAGGTCATGATCCTGGAGTCCCGGGATCAAGTCCCACATCGGGCTCCCTGCTCAGTGGGGAGTCTGCTTCTCCCTCTGACCCTCTCCCCTCTCATGCTCTCTCTCACTCTCTCTCAAATAAATAAATAAATCTTAAAAAAAAAAAAAAGAGTAAAGTTAATAGTTAAGTCAGCAAAAACCGTAAGAGAAGTGACTGTAATTATATGGGCAAAATATCATATAGACAACAAAAAGTGAATTTTAAAAAATGCAACAATTAATTCTAAACATCTGATTAATTTCCCGGGGGTTTTTTCCCCACTTTAAATCTGCACACTTCATATAAAATCTAATGATCAAATTAATTAAAGGATGGGGAATGCAACCTTAGTGTTAACACAAGGAAAGAGTGGGGTCAACTGTGTATCAAAGATACAAAAGGACCAATTCTATTCTTTTTATCAAGTAATCTCTATGCCCTATGTGGGGCTCAAACTCAACCCTGAGATCAAGAGTCCAATGCTCAACTGACTGACTGAGCCAGCCAGGAGCCCCATCAAAAGGACCAATTCTAACCTAATCTAATGAAATTACGAAGCCGAAGAGCAGGGATGGTATCTATTTTACACTTAATTCAACATGCAGACTGAGTGCAACATAATATAAATGGGAAAGAAAAGGAATCTTCACAGCAACAGCTAATACTGAAGG